ACTTCTATGCCTGGCAGCACCGCGAGACCAAGATGGAGCGTAAGGGCGCGCCCCAGGCCCCTGTCCTTCGGCCCCCTGCCCTGGGCGCCCAGGCTGTGGACGCGGTCTTGTGGCCGCTCTGCCAGCCCTGGCGAGACATGGAGCTCCTGACGGCAGGCGCCAGGCCTGCAGGCGGGTAGGGCGTTCTTGGGCGCAGACTTCCTAACAGGCTCTGGGGTTACAGTCCCAGCCTGGCAGCGTCCCCGTGTCGTGGGCTCCCTGTTGCTCCCGAGGCAGCTGCGGGTGCCTCTGGGTATTGAGGCTGCACAGGCACCTGGGATGTAGGCCCCACCTCCAGGCCCTTGTCAGCCTCCGGCAAGGAGCCACACGCAGAGGGTGGCCACACGCAGAGGGAGCCCCTGACCACCTGTGGCTGCTCTCGGGGGCTATGATGCCGAGCTCGCGGCCCGGGCCGCCTGGTCTCCTGCTGGCAGGACGGCTTCCCCGTGGACCTGGGAGAGGGTCCTGGCCTTGCACGGGGGAGGCCCTGACCCCGCCGCCCAGTCACACCGCGCCCTCACCTGCCTCACTGCTCCTGCCCACACCGTGCCCACCGCTCCTTCGCTCTGCGTTCCTCTGGCCCCGCCTGACAGGGGCCTCCACCAGCCTCCCCTCCCTTGGGCTCAAGACCCCACACCCGGCGTCCCGACCCGGTCACCCTTGGTGACCGGAGTCGCTGCGTGAATTCTGTGGCTGTCTCGGGGTGGAGGCCCCTTACTTATTCCTGACGTGCGTCCCCGGCCTGATAGCTGCCGTGAGGAGGGGCTGGGAGAGGTGTCCCGGGGGTCTCCCAGCAGCCCCAGAACCTTCTTCCTTCACCTTGGGGGGCGTGTTGGAGGCGGGGTGGTAAGGGGGCAAGTGCCTTTTGGCTTTCTCTGCTTTCTCTTCGACCTGGTGAATTTTCCACCTGAAACCTCGGGTGTCCCTTCTGCTCCACTTCAGCCTCTGCCCTCCGACTGGGCTGCAGTCTGGTTCCGGTTCCCACCGCAGAGGCGACGGGGGAGGGGGGTGGCCGTGCGGAGCGCCCCCAGCGGGGAGTGGGGACTGAGGGAGGGGCTGCTGCCCTCACGAGTGGGGGGCAGCGGGGGCAGCTTCCGCCCGGCCTGTCTGATCCCGGCCCTGTCTCGTCTTACCCCCTCTCGCCCCAGATCTCGCGCAGCTGCGCAAGAAGTTCCAGGAGGACAAGCAGAGGATCGAGCTGATGCGGGCCCAGCGCAAGTTCCGACCCTACTGAGCCTCACCCACCCGCGGGCCCCGTGGAGAGGGGTGGTGACTGGGTGGCAGTGCGTGGCCAGCGAGGACACAGGGCCTGCAACACTCATCTCAGTGGCCGTGCCCAGGCTGAGGGACCACACGTCAGCCCCAGAGATCTGAGCGCACGTGATGTGGGGTACAGGACAGTGTCACCCCTTGGTTCCTGTGCTTCGGCAGTCCTGGGGCCCGGCGCAAGGACCTGGACTCCGGAAGCCACTGGCCCAGGAAGTGGCTCCTTCCCTATCATGGGCTCTGTCCCCAGCCTGTCTCTGGACTCTCCTCTCAGGGCTAAGTGTCTGCTGTGTTCTCCCCTTCCTCCTAACGGAGAAGCCCCATGGGCAGTGAGACAGCCTTAAACGCAGAAAGAATACAAGAACGTTTTTATTTTTCATCCAGCTGGGCGGCAAGAGAAGGCTACAAAAGGCCGGTGGGCCTATCCCAGCCCCTCCCTCTGCCTGCTACTCAGTCACAAAACAGGTAACTCCCACACCCAGACACCGTCTCCCCCTTGAAGTCACAGATGTTAGCGTCAGAATCTTGTATCCCTTCCCCCGTCCCCCCCCCCAGCTCTGCCACAGGATTCTCTTCCGGCCATGCTGGTCTTCAGGACCAGGGGGCCCTGTCCCCACCACGCCTGGCCTGGGCTTGGGGGCTGGGAGTCTGGGGCTGAGCAGGCGTCTGTAGCCCCTGGCCCAGGGCTACAGGTGGGCTGGGATTCTCTCCTTGCTCTGTAAAAAGGAGCTGATGATACCAGCCATGTGCTGGGGTTGGTTCATGTGGACGTAGTGGTTGCCGGGGACTTGCACGTACTGGAACCTCTGGGGAAGGGAGGGGACACGTGGTGAGGTAACCCAGTGGAGGGCTCTGCGGGCCCCTCTGGCGCACTGGGGCTTTCCCATGGCCTGCTGCCTCCCAGTGGTTCCAAGTGTCCACCACAGGAGCCTTGGCAGTGCCTGACCCGTGGCCTCGCGGGCCCCAGTCAGTCACAGCACCCCCTGGGGGGTGTCAGGGCCTGGCTCAAAACCAGTGAGAAAGGCCTGTCTGGGAGGGAAGAGCCCAGACCCTGGGGTTCTAGGCCATTCTGAGCTGAAGTTGTAGAGCTAGGCTGGGGAGGGGGCTGGTAGTCGGGGCTGCTGCTGGTTCTGAGCATCTTATAAGGTCCACTTGCAAAAAGAATAGACCATCAGCCTTTCAAACTCGCCCTTGCTCGGGAGAAAGGCCGACAAGGCAGGAAGGCACTGCAGTTGGCCAGCCAGCCACACGGGCTTCCCTCTAGTGACACCCAGTCGTCTGCACAGGCCCCAGGGTCGGGTGTTTATGGTGGATGATGGTCATAAAATGCCAGGTGCTCCCAGGAACCCAGGCAAAGGGCACAGTCACAGCACATGTCCCAGCCCTCCAACTGGGAGGCCAGCACCCACTGATGAGCCTGGTCATCTGCTCCCATGTGGGACCCTAGGAAATCATGGCAGTGCTGAGTTGGGTGTGGTGCAGGGAACATGTGAGGACAATAAAGCCAGGAGATTCTGCCAATGAGAAGTCTGCTTTCTGTGCTGATTTATATGTGACCGCAGGTCTCCAGGGACCGCAGCAGGGAGTGAGGCCTGGTAGCTCCTGGGGGTCACCTGATAGACCTAGGGCCAGACCAGAGGTCCCAGTGCAAGAAAAGAGATGGGTGAGCTGGAGCCCGGGGCGGCCTGGCAGCCCCTCCTGAAGCCCAGCTGCCCTGAGCCCTACGTACCCACCTCTTTCAGGGTGGATCTCAGTGAGCTGGTCACGAATAGCACGAGCTCCGTGTTGGCATCATTCTCTCTCCTCAGATCGTAAAACCCTTGGGTTGCTCTGGGAAACGAGAAGAAAGGTTCATCTGGGACCACCTCCTTGCATGCTCTCCCCCAGCCCTGGGCTCCAGGCTCTGAGACTGAGACCGGCCTGGGCGTCCCTCCAAGCTTCCCACAGCTGGGTCCCTTGGAGCCCAGGTTTAATTCAGGATTGAGTTATTCAGTCCCCGCAGGCACTCACAGCTCACTGAGGCCTGCTCAAGTGAAGCAATTCAGGTTTATCTCAGGGGACCTGGCCATGGTCACAGCCACTGAATGGCAGAGCTGGGATCTGAATGGGGTCAGAGTCTGCGTTCTCTTTCTCTTTTAGCAGCTTTATGGAGATAATTTCACCCATTTAAAGTGTACAATTCCATGGATTTTGGTATATTCAGAGTTGTGCAAGCATCACCACTGTCAATTTTAGAACATAATGAATCACCTCAACAACAACAAAAAATCCCGTACCTACAGTTTCCACATAGAGCTCCCCGTCCTACACAACCACTGATCAGCCTTGTCTCTGTATGTTTCCCTACTTGGACTTGCATGTGAATGGAATCATATGCTACCTGGACTTCTGTGACTGGCTTCTTTCAATTAGCCTCATGTTTTCAAGGTCCATCCATGTCAGTGTGTATCAGTGCTTCATCCCGTTTGTCACTGAATAGCCCGTTGCATGGATGGAGCATATTTTGCTTATCATCTGTCCATTGATGGACACGTGGGTCGCCTCCAACACTATTCATTCGATTATGAAAGATGCTGCTGTGTGCACAGATGCTGGAAACATACCTAGGAGTGGAACTGCTGGGTCTTGGTAATTTAATGGCTTGAGAAACTGCCAGACTTTTCCAAAGCGGCTGCACCATTTTACAATACCAGGGGCTTCCCTGGTGGCACAGTGGTTAAGAATCCGCCTGCCAATGCAGGGGATATGGGTGCGAGCCCTGGTCCGGGAAGATCCCACATGCCGTGGAGCAACTAAGCCCATGCGCCACAACTACTGAAGCCCGCGCGCCTAGAGCCCGTGCTCTGCAACAAGAGAAGCCACCACAATGAGAAGCCCGCGCACAGCCACGAAGAGTAGCCCCCGCTCGCCGCAACTACAGGAAGCCCATGCGCAGCAACGAAGACCCAATGCAGCCATTTAAAAAAAAAGTTTACAATCCTACAGTAGCATGCAAGGGTTCTAGTTTCTCCGCATCCTCACCAACACTTGTTATCTCACTTTTAGAGTCTGGCCATCCTAGGGGTGTGCAGTGTATCTCACTGTGGTCTGGATCTGCCCCTATCGAGTCCATGCCTTCTAAACCCCTGTGCTCGGCAGATGTGTCCCTGGAAGTCACAGTTCCTGCCAGTCCAGGATGGCTGCAGTGGAGTGGGTGGTGGCACCTAAGCCACACCAAAGGGTGTTCACTGTGCTGTGGCACCCAGAGGCAGTGGATGGCTTCTGGCTAGCAGGTGGGGGAAGGGAGGACAGCAGACAGGAGCAGTGTAGGCCTGGGGATGTCAGGAGTGGGGTGGCTGGAGGACTGGGGAGGGCAAGGGCCAGACTCCAGTGTCTGCCAGTCTCTGCCTTACCTGGGCGTGCCCCCCACAGATACAGACACCTGCTGAAAAGTGCGATGCAGTCCTTTCCCATCCCTAGCTGCCCAAGCCCTCCCACTGCCTTGCCTGCCTTCCACACACCAGCGGCCGGGGGGCTGCCCAAGAAAGATGGCGGAGAGGTCTCACACTAGGAGACCTGGAGATTCCTGGCACTCACCTCTGTCTGGGGCGCTTGGTTCAGACTTACTTGATGAACAGGACGCGGGCCTGCAGCTTCCTGATGGAATGCACAAACAGCTCCCTGCTGATGAAATTGAAGTAATACTCTGGCTGCAGAGACAAAACCCCAGTGAATTCTCACCACAAGGCCCTGGCATTGCCGGGGGGCAGAAACCGGTCTCTCTTGGGAACAGTGGGGGCCCCTTCGGCCACCTAACCAGGACCAAGCCCACTGCCCAACCGTATCACTGCCTCAACAGAGGGCTTTAACTCCCTCAGGCCAGAGACTTCCCCCCTCCACCTCCAAATCTGTTCTCCCTCTTCCTGGGCTCATGGCTGCCCAGCTAGACATGTCCCAGACTCCCCTCAGCCAGGTGTGGCCATGCAACTAAATGCAGACAAGTGACCTGGGCTACTTCTGGGCTTAGGTTTGGGACTGAGGCGTGGCCCCTCCACACCTCCTTTCCTGGTCCACGGGCTGCCTTGTAACGCTGCCCAGCCAGCCTGGGCTCTGGACTCTCGGCAAGCACAGCCCGCTTACCTCCACCGACTGTTTCCATGAGAAAGAAACCTGCTTAAGCCACAGTGCAGAAAGAGTGCACCTTGGTGTCCCCGCAGCCACTGCTGGCCTCCATCACAGCCCTGACCTCCCCGTCTTACGACCATTTAAGAGGTCTAGGTCTATACTGTCCACACGGTAACCATCCGCCATCTGTGGCTACTGAGAGCTTGAAATGGGGCTAGTCCAGCCTGAGACACACTGTAGGTGTAAACTGCACACTGGATTTCGAAGACTTAGTACAAGAAAACAATGTCAAATATCTCAATAATTTTTTATGTTGATTACATGCTGAAGTGGTAACACCTTGGATACACTGAGTTAGAAAATATTATTAAAGTTGATTTCACCTGTTTGTTTTCACCGTTCATACGGCCACTAGAAGACGTGACGTTAACACGAGCTCCCATTATACTTCTATTGGACTGTGCCGCTCTACGCCAAGAAGCCTCTGAGGGCAGAAGCTCTCAGGACTTTCTCTGTGTTCACAGCTCTCGGCACACGGCGCGACAGAGGCGGGGCTCAGTGAGGGCGTACTGAGTGGGTTAATTCAAGAGAGCTCCCATACGGACTGTCGCGTTGTGCTACAGCATCACGATGAAGCTACGACTCCTGTGAAGACACAGGCACGCGGCTGCCTGGCCAGCCACTTACTGTCGTCGTTCTGCCCTAACCCCTCCCAGCCACCTCCTGCTCCTCGGGCCACAGTGAACTCAGGGGCTTTTCCAGAAGCAGAGGCCCCCCTATCAACCACGAGGCCCAATGAATGAGCATTTACTGAGGACCCAGACACGTCACACATTATCTCCTCCCCGAAGGATCAGAAACGCTAAGTCCCTATGTCACAGTCAACAGCTAACAGGAGGTGGTGCCAGGACTCAGCTCAGGCGTGAACTGCCCCTCACCCCCTCCTACCCCAGCTTCCCAGCCTCGTTTTTTTTTTTTTTAATTAATTTATTTATGTTTTGGCTGCATTGGGTCTTTGTTGCTGCGCGCGGGCTTTCTCTAGTTGCGGCGAGCGGGGGCTACTCTTCATTGAGGTGTGCGGGCTTCTCATTGCGGTGGCTTCTCTTGCTGCAGAGCACGGGCTCTAGGCGCACAGGCTTCAGCTGTTGTGGCACGTGGGCTCAGTAGTTGTGGCTCGCGGGCTCTAGAGGGCAGGCTCAGTAGTTGTGGTGCACGGACTTAGTTGCTCCGTGGCATGTGGGATCTTCCCAGACCAGGGCTCAAACGCGTGTCCCCTGCATTGGCAGGTGGATTCTTAACCACTGCACCACCAGGGAAGTCCCTCTGGCTTCTTTTTTCTCTTCCTCTCCATCTCTCCTTTGACCTCCTTTTCCTAGTCCACTTACATCCTCAGATCTGTATTTTTCTTTTGTAATTCAAGTATAACTTACAGCAAAGTCCACAGACCTGGGTGTCAGCCCATTATGGCCTTTGACATACGGATGCGGCCGTGCAGCCATGACCCGGATGAAGGCCTGGAACCCCTCAGCACCCAGCAGGCTCCCTTCAGGGTTTTTCTCCAAGGGCACCCCCCTAGATCAATTTTGCCACTTTCTGAACTTCATATACATAGAATCATTGTGTTCTTTTTTGGTTTGGGCTTCTTTTGCTCTGTAAATGTGCTTTTTTCATTCCTGTGTGGTGTTCCATTGTATGAATGTATAACAGTTTATGCATTCTATTGTTGATGGACATTTGGGTGATTTCTGCTTTGGGGCTATGATGAATAAAGCTGCCAGGAATGTTCTCATACATGTCTTATGGAGCACACAGCACACACTGTTGCCGGGTACATATCTAGGATTGGGATTACTGGGCACAGAATTTACATATAGCATAAATATCATACTATGTATATTTTACTACCATAAAAAAAGAAAAAGAAAGAAGCTGACAGGCACACTGTGAAGGGTGGGAAGACAGTAGCACTCACCCTAGTGATCCTCCGATCTCTGTTCAGAAACAGACCTGGAAGGAAGCATGGAGACATGGCCTCAGCGCCGCCTGTCAGGGTGCGGGGGGGGAACTCAGCTCGGCTCCCCTGGGACCCTGGGCCCGTGCAGCCAGGGCTCATTTCTTCAGCCTGGACCTGCAGGGACCACCCCCAACATCCTCTTGGGGTTCAGCCAGAGCAGAGCTTGCCCACAGCTACCCTGCCACGGACAGGAACGCCCATGCAGGTGCCTCCCCGGCCATCCCGAGGGCTGCACAGAATGACGGCGGCGGGACAATCACCCACCCGGCACCGTAGTCTCATCTCTGAGAACCTTAAAATGTTCACTCGGGTCTTTAAGCACCAGGAAGTGCCCAAGAGCTAAGGATCGCATCCTCACTTGTTGGAGAGAAATCGAGCCAAAAAAGAAAGGCTGGAGGGGTTGAGAGGCCTGGGTCGTCCCAGCTCCAGCTGGGTTCTCTGCCACGGTCCCAGTGGGGGCAACTTGGCCTCACCTAATGAGGATGGACACCCAGCAGTTCCCGCCTGGGCAATGTCTCCTCAAGAAAGGACTGCCAGGTTCCCTGGTGGTTTAGTGGATAAGACTCCGTGCTCCCAATGCAAGGGGCCCGGGTTCGATCCCTGGTCGGAGAACTAGATCCCGCATGCCTGCCACAACTAAAAGTCTGCGTGCTGCAACTAAGAGTCCACGTACCACAACTAAGAGTCCACATACCGCAACTAAGAAGCCCGTGTGCCACAACGAAACTCCCACGTGCCGCAACTAAGACCTGGCGCAGCAGGCATGCATGCACAAATACTAAAAAAAACAAAAAAAAGGGCTGCAGGGTCTCAGGGAGGTCACAGAATCTCAGACCCTGGAGGCTGCCTGATGTGAGCAGTGCAGGGAGTGAGAAAGGGAGATGATACGGTGACGTGGGTCACCCCAGGAGAACGTGCCGGCCAGGAGAAGCAAGGCTGCTCCCTCCTCCCTACACACCTTTGCTCAAATGCCACCATGCCAGCCAGGCCTCCTGGACCTCCCCTTTACACCCACAAACATCTGACCAGAGCCCCTCCATCCCCCGCTGATTTATTTCTCTCCATAACTCCCAGCACTTTCTTTCTTTCTTTAGTATTTATTATTTGGCTGCATCGGGTCTCAGCTGCTGCACCTGGGATCTTCATTGTGGTGCACAGGCTTCTCTCTAGTGACTCACGGGCTCCAGAGCATATTGGCTCAGTAGTTGTGGCGCAGGCTTAGCTGCCCCGTGGCATGTAGGATATTAGTTCCCCGACGAGAGATCAAACCCACATCCCCTGCATTGGAAGGTGGATTCTTAACCACTGGACCACCAGGGAAGTCCCTCCCGGCACTTTCTAATGCACTCTATCATTTACCCTCTGCTAGATCATATCTTCCAGGACAACAAGGGGTTTGGTCTCTTTTTAATTCACAGCTGTTTTTTTTTTTTAATTTATTTATTTAATTTATTTATTTTTGGCTGCGTTGGGTCTTTGCTGCTGTGCGCGGGCTTTCTCTAGTTGCGGCGAGCAGGGGCTACTCTTCGTTGTTTCAGTGGCTTCTCTTGTTGTGGAGCACGGGCACCAGGCAAGTGGGATCCAGTAGTTGTGGCGTACGGGCTTAGTAGTTATGGCTCGTGGGCTCTAGAGCACAGGCTCAGTAGTTGTGGCTCATGGGCTTAGTTGCTCCGCGGCATGTGGGATCTTCCCGGACCAGGGCTCGAACCCGTGTCCCCTGCATTGGCAGGCGGATTCTTAACCACTGCGCTACCAGGGAAGCCCCACAGCTAATTGTTGATAGAGGTTCTTAGGCATCTGTGACTCAAAATACTTAGAAGGACCATGTCGTTGGAAGGTTTTCTGGTTTCCACACTACTAGAGCATCTCAGCCTGATCAAACCGTGGCTGAGGCTTCTGGGCTGCCTTCAGCTCCGGCCACGACCTCCCTGCACAGATGACTGGCCCTGCTGCATGTGCAGGACCAGGGGTGACCCCTGGGTGCCCCCGCCCCCAGGCTCACTGCCCTCCTCTTTTCTCCAGGCCTGGGTTTCAGGTGCTGAGAGGATGTGAAAAGACTTAAAAAGGGGGTTTTCTTGGGGGTGGGGTGACCCCCCAGGTATTGGGGACCCCCATCGTGCTGTTTTCTCTGCCCTAAGAATTGCTCCTCCCTGTGGTCAAGTCCTCCAGCTCTTTTCAAGCCTGCTTCCACCTGACACATCCTGACGTGCCCCAGGCACTCCCGCAGCCGGCTGCTTTTCTGTCTGCCTCTCCTGTGACAATGACCTTTGTGAGGGCAGGAATGGTGTTTCTCAGACCAGTGGGCCAGAGCAGATGTCACTTAAATAAGGAGTCCAGGGGCTTCCCTGGTGGCGCAGTGGTTAAGAATCCGCCTGCCAATGCAGGGGACACGGGTTTGAGCCCTGGTCCAGGAAGATCCGACATGCCGTGGAACAACTAAGCCTGTGCACCACAACTACTGAGCCTGCGCTCTAGAGCCTGCGAGCCACAACTACTGAGCCCTTGTGCCACAACTGCTGAAGCCTGTGCGCCTAGAGCCCATGCTCCACGACAAGAGAAGCCACCGCAATGAGAAGCCCGCACACCGCAACGAAGAGTAGCCCCTGCTGGCCGCAACTAGAGAAAGCCGGTGCGCAGCAACGAAGACCCAACACAGCCAAAAATTAATAAATAAATAATTAAACAAATAATTAAATAATTTAAAAAAATGAAATGGTCTTGAATGCAGGAGATATTATCAGGACCATAGACTCCCCACTTCCCTGCCAACAGTTAGGGACTGTGACACTGTGATATAACAAAACATATATTTTAGTCCTGGTCCTTGGCTCCTAGCCAGAGCTCCTAAAAACTGTTGTTATTTCCTAAAGTGGTGAAAGTGCAAGAAGCATCTTTGGTCCGAACATTTGATCTCTGACACAGAGCTCCTAAATCCCTTGGAATTTCCTGAGCGATAGGAGTGTCTTTTGTTCTAATGAGGTGACCCTTGGTGGGTTCTTGATGGCTTCAGGATCGGGCTGGTCACCAGAAAGATCAAGCCATGATTAGGAACGTGGAACTTCCAGCCCGGCCCTTCGGGGAAGGGAGAGCGGCTAGAGCCTGGGTTAACCATCATTCACGCCTATGTGATAAAGCCCCCATAAAAATCTCTGAGTTTGGAGAGCCTCCGTGTTGGTGGATACCGGGAGGTATCAGGATGGTGGGTGCACCACCCGCTTCCTCTGCTGGGACCTGCCAAGGTCACGGACTCACCGCAGAGGCTGGGCAGAGTGGGTGCAGCGCCCGCTCGCACACAGCAGGGTCTCCGCGCAGCTGTTCTTGCCTATGCGGAAGGCAGAACGTACTGCCAGGTGTTGCCATTTTCAAAAGAAACCGGAAATCTCCATTTTCACATAAACTCTCTCTATTCTAAATATGAGCAACCTATTCAAAATCCCCCTGGTGCCAAACTGTTGTGTTTAAACTGCGCAAGTCAAAAGAAATCATGCCCGCAGCCGCAGGGCAGCCCAGCCTGCGACAGGGTCTGAGCACCCCCAGGGGGCCGGCTGCAGGTGGTGGATGCTGACGAGAGTCCTTGGTCATTAACCCCACCCGGAGCTGGACCTTCCCCCCTTCACGCTAACGCTAACACGTTGACCTCATTTCGAAGGCCTGGGCCAGGGCTGTGATGGGAACGCAGATAAGAGGTAGATAAGATAGGAGCTGGCCTCCCTCCTCACCCTGGCTCACCGCCTCCGTTTCTCCCACAAGCCTGATGGAGCTCGTGCACCAAGCCCTTCCCGGCAGCTCATCTGCATCACGGGGTTCAGGAGTCACCTTCTCCACAAGGCCAACCCAGGCCCTTCTACTGAACATCCTGACCCCCTTACCCGCTGTTTTTTCCAAAGCGCTCTCACCTCACACTCTGTGAAGACGTGGGGAGAGGGTCACACATGAGCCAAGGAACACCTGAGGCCACCAGAAGCCAGGAGAGAGGCACGGACAGCCTGTCACAGCCCTGCCAACGCTCTGGCCTTGGCTTCTGGCCTCTGAAACAGTGAGACAGTAAACGTAAACGTCTGCTGTTGAAGCTGCCCCATCTGTGGGACTTTGTAACGGCAGCCCTAGGGAAGGAATTCAGAGTTGGGGGGGTATGGGGTTGGATGACGGAGGTGTGTGTGGCTCCAGAACGGAATGGGGGCTCTCGGAGGCTCTGGGGCCTGAGGGAACGGGCTCAGGAGGGTCCTGGAATGCCGGCTCCCCCGCTGTCACCCCGCCCACTTGGGTCTGGGAGGCTGCTTGGTCTTCTTTTAGGTTAACCCCGGGCCTCAAAGGGCCACACTGCTGCGGAGGGGCTGCGCCCGACACAAAGATCCAGCCGCCTGCCCACTGCCCACCCCTCCCACCTCCTCTGCCCATCCCCTTGACAAGTGGCTCAGTGGACGTCTGCTCACTGTTTCATGTGACCCTGGGCTGGCCAAATCGGCTTCCCAGGCCAGGTGCACGTCTAATTCTGGATTAGCCCACTTCCGCACGGGGGCCCCTCTGGCCCGCCATCTGTACCAGCACATCAGGGAAGCTGGGGCCCACGCCCTCTGCCATCGATCTCCCTCCTCCATGACGGATTTGCAGGGAGGACCAGACAAACGCTCAGAGACGGTAACCAAGACAGGAACGGGTCTCCAACCCCCTTAGGTATATTCCACTTGACCTAATGGTGTGTTGGCAACTTCTGAGAAACATTACAACACAGCAGGGACTTCCCTGGCGGTCCAGTGGTTAAGACTCCAAGCTGCCACTGCAGGGGGCACGAGTTCGATCCCTGGTTGGGGAACTAAGATCCTGCGTGGCACGTGGTGCGGCCAAAAAAAAAATTACAGCACAGCAGACCTCTGGCTCCTTTTGAGCAGCTAGAAATTCTGGCCACAGGAGCCCCGAGTTCCCATGTGATAAGCCCTGGGAGCCGCCCTCCTGCAGGGCACAGGGTCTCAGTGCCACAATCCCCACCACTTCTCACGGCCACACTCCCAGCAGCCGGCATAATTTCACAACTTGTTCAGCTCCCACAGGCATTTGGGGTTTTGAGCCCTGCCTCGTTTGGTTCTTTACAAACTGAAGTCACCTAAGAAGACCAGGGAGTCTGACTGTGGGAAGGAGCTTGCCCACAATCTCTGAGTTCCTGGGGCAGTCGCTGCCAGCAAGGGCGCTTGTGGATGGCGCCCCCTGGAGTTGTGCTGGCCGGGTACTGGGCCACCAGGAGAGGGCGGGTGTCTGTTCTGGTTCACCATGCTCCTGCAGCCTCTCAAGGGGCTGGGCACAGAGCGGACTCCGAGTAAAAGGTTTCTTCAATGAATATGTTGGGAAATAAAGTGTAGAAAACAGAGGCCTGATGCTGCCCTGAAGCCAAGGTGCCCCCAACTCCACTTCTCCATTCTGAAAACCATCTTCAAAGTCGCTTGCCCCATGGGAGTCCTCAAAGCCTAGCCTCGGACACCAGGCACCCACCACACAGGATCAGCAGAGCAGGGCTGTGCTGTACCCCAACATTTAGTCCCAAGACCCCTGACCAAGCTCCCCACAGGACGTGGCTTTCCAGGATAGGCAGCAGCCGCCTGACCTGGCACAAGCCGCTTGGCCCTTCTGAGCCTCAGTTTCCCCTGCTTTAAACGGGATGAAAATAGGGCAGTAGGAGCGCTAAAGGAGATACTTTTTGTAAAGCACTAAGTTATCATGCCTGGGCCAGAGCAAGCAGCCATAAAGCCTAGCCATCATCATTCCTCAGTAAGCACAGTGCCAATAAGCAACGGCCTTGGACAGCGAGTCCCTTACCTGTGGCCACCTGTGTGGTTCCTCTCTGCAGGAGGAGTTTCCCACACTCTTCTCCCACATGACTGTTGTTCTTCAGGAACCTGGGGGAGACAAGGAGGACACTGGATGCCTTGGGGCAGGGGAGGCCAGATGAAAGGAGAGGAGGGCAGGGAAAAGGCTACCCCACTAGGACACAGGCCTGTACCGATGGGGATGTTCGCATCGGTGTGGGGGTGTGTGTGTGTGGAGAGGGGGGCAGAGAGCATGCAGAGGGGTGGGGAGAATGCAGCTCAAGCCCCAGCTGGGGCGGCTAAGGAGTGCCAGGTGAGCACAGGGAGAAGCAGGCTTGCTGTGGATTTGCGAGTAGGAGAAGGAAGCTTCCTCCGTGCCCCAGAGATCTCCTCCCTCCGTGGTCCAGAGCTCCCCCAGGCCTCTGACGCTACCGGTCTCACCCGCCGGCACCCACCCCTGCAGCATCTCCTCCGGGCTGACCACTTGCGAGGGCTTCTTGGAGGCCTCCACCTGCAGCATGTGCTCTATGGCTTTCCGCTTGTAAGTCAGCATGTTCTCCAGTTCCTAAGGATTCATGGGTTCTGCTGGGTGGGCAGGGCGGGGCTCCCAGCTGCACGCACGCAAAGGGGCCTGCTCCCTCGCCCAGCCCCACCCTCCACCCTCAAGAGCCCCTCAGCTGCACACCCGCCTGGCCCAAGATGCATTCTGACCCAGCGGGCGGCAGCATGGGATCAGTCCCTGCCAGTTAGCCCTGTGACTGCCTCGGTCACAGCCAGCCCAGCCCTGTCTGAGGCCCGGGACAGCTGGACGGATCAGGTTGAAGATGGAGGAAGCCCCCGGGGGCACTGTGTGTGTCAACTCAGTGGGTGAAACCGGTAAAGAAGCAAGAGTGGCAGCCACCGCTGTCTCGGTGAATCCTCACAGTAACCTACGAGCTCTCTGCTCATGCAACGCACGTTTATCGAGCACTTACTATGTGCCGGGACTCGGCAGGTGGTGGTAAAGAGACAGCTATGGTTCTTGCCCTTATGGAATCTGTGATCATTTTATGGACAAGAAAGCTGAAACTGATGAAGGACCCGTGTGAGGCTGAGCCCTCGGGAACAGAATGACCACCTGTCAGAGCTGGAGGGCACCTCCACAGTCCTCTATTCCAACCTCCTCATTTTACAGGTGAGGAAACTGAGGCCTAGAGAGGCAGTGACCTGCCTAGGGTCACAGAGCAGGGAAACGGCAGAGCCAGCACTCAGATGCAGAGATAGCACTGGTTGTTGTCATTGGTGGTGGTGGCGAGAGGGGTCAGCGCTTTTCCCACGGGTCCACACTCAGGTCTACTGTGTGCAGTTGTGCAGTGTGTGCACAGCTCAAAGGTACTTGACTGAGCACAAGTGCAGGTGGGCGCACCCAACTGTGCGCCCCCAGAGCTTCCTCAACCCACTGCTTCTACCCTCTCTCACCCCTGCCGCCTCGTGACCCACCTGGCACCCTGCAGACTCCAGGCCACACGCAGGGTTCCCAAGGATGACCCAGGCCCACACGCCCTGTTCCTTGCCCACTCCTAGGGTGTAAGTAGCATAACCCTGGGGGGGGGGGGGGGGGGGGGGGGAGGCGGCCCTGAGGCCCTTTGTCTACCCTCTGCCACCTCCTCCCGCCCCACTGAGGGAGGCAGGGCTGAGGGCACTACCTGGGACCGGACCCAGGTCTACCCCAGCGACAGCATGCATGAAAAGCCCTGTCCTTACGTTAGTTTCCAGGATAAATGGCGAGGATTCCAGCAAGACAAGTTTATCCACCATCTCAGGGAAGATACAGGAAAACTATAATGTGACACAAAAGGGTAAAGATGAAGGGGAGAGTAGGCAGGGAAAGGGACTCACTTTCCTGTGGGGACACCGGTGTTTTAGGCTGGGGAAAGGGTGCTGCCCAAGAGGCCAGCAAGAATCTCCTATCCCTTCAGGGCACCCTTCTCTCCCCTACTCCCAGTCTGCATCCAGCATCAAGATCCCGACCCTGGGGCTGGACTCCAGGGTTCTCTGTGACGGAGGAGATGGGCACTGTTGGAACACTTAACTCCATCAGGAATGCCCTCACAACAGTGATTATCACGGGACTACAAAGGAAGCTGGCACAGTCACTAAAACGCTGCCTGGAACTCCCGATGTGAGGGGGCACTCCCCTTTCCAGGCAAGTTCCCTTCGTCGTCCTGCTCTCCCCACCCCACCTGGAGCACGAGCAGGGATGGTCACTGTAATCTACTCACCATTCCACCCACAGTGCCACCTGGGGGGACAAAAGAGTAGTTAGCTGATATTCCCCAGCTCTCAAAGTCCTTCTAAAACTCCTTCCCAGGGGTCGAGCCAGCCCCGAGCCAGGGGCCAGGCTCCTGTCCCCCACCAGCAGGCCGGGCTCTGCATTCACTATCAAACTTGAGGCTCCCTCTCTGGGGCCACGGGGTCCCTGCATCAGACATGACCCTGTTTCCCTCGTCAGGTCCGGAGACTGCTATCTACGGGGCCACGTGTCCCTTGGGGAGCTACCTGAGGTCAGAGGGCATGGTGCCCAAGGGTCAATGTCTGATGAACCCCCTCCATCTCTCCTTGCGGTTCCAGAAGTGCAAGGGAAAGATACCTGTGTACCAACTCCCCTCCCTTCCTCACAGCCCCACAGCCCAAGACCAGTCAGGTCTTGGCCAAAGCGTACTCACCAAAACTGTGGCCCAGGAGGGAAAAACGGTTCCATTTCAGGGCTGAAAACACACGGAGCCAGGTCTGGATGGGCCCAGCCTCCCCGCACCCTCTGTCCTGCAGTCGCTGTGCTCTGGAAATCCCTCCCCAGCATCTGGGATGCCCCACTCAGGAAACCCACTTAAAGGAGTCCCAGTTCCACAGCAGGGGTGGAACTCACAGGGGGAAGTGAGCTCTTCTTGCCAGCTCTCTCCAGCTTTCCCAAAGTCACCCATGAATTCCTGGCAGAACTGGGGCCAGACCCCAAGTCACGCCCAAGCCAGCATTGCTTCCTGGCCACCACACCCAACTCCAAGGATGAGGGCATGTCCCAGAGCACTCCCCCAAACACACACCCACAACACACAGAGATGAACATACAGGCTCTGTCTCTTACTCACCTGCTGCGACCCTTCGGACCTCACTCACAAAGTTTTGGTGGTCATACGGGAAACCTGGGCTATAATGGGATGACAGCCCATGACCCCCGAAATCCATGGCAACGTAATAAAAGTCTGAGACAGAGGGAAAGGGTAGGGGAAGGCATCTAGGTCAGCCACCTCCCCTTCCTGATTCTCCTGCAGTCCCACTGCCTCACCCCTTGGCTTCCATTCAGCCTCACGCCCACCTTTTGGGAGAAGAGGGATGAGTCTGTCAAAGGAGTTGGCATTGTCCAGCCACCCGTGAAGGCAGAGAACTGGGGGGCTCTTATGGGAGCCCCAGGCTTTGGCAGCAATGTGGCCCCAGGGCATAGCGAGCTTCAGCTCTGAGATTAGACCTGAAACACAGAATGACCATTCATGGAGCCTGCACTTCCGGAGCCCCTCATCCACACCCAATGTGTCCAGAGCATTGGCACTACCCAGAGGGCTCAGCTGCCTGCGCTGCCCCCGGGGGTTATGGGGAGAGAGCCAGATGAGGAAAGCTAAGCTGGGTCCACTGGGTGAGGAAAATCTTGGGAGGGCTTCACAGCAGAACTTTCTAGAATAGGTTGGGGGGTTAGCTAGGCCTGGGGTCCACCACTTGCTGGCTGTGTGACCTTGAGCAAGTTAGTAAAACCTCTCAACCCTCAGTTTCCTTTTCTGTCCCTTCGCAAACCCAGAAACTGAGGCACAGGGAGGTGCAGGCCATTCTCCAGGTCACACAGAGAGAATGGGGTGGAGCGAGGATTTAGCGCGGGCGGCACGACCCCAGGCCCCAGTCCCGACCACCGGGCACTACACTGTCTCCGGCCTGCTCAAGTCAGGGCTGCTTCCTCCGTCGCCCAGGGCTAACATTTTCACCCTTCAGGCTCTCCCGGCCGGGCCTGAGACCTGCCTACCCGCAGACGCCCGCGAACTTGCCTCTCTGACCTGGGGCTCCCGGAACCCTGGGAGGTCAAGTGCGGCCAGGTCCCCGCCCCCCCGTCCCCCCGCGCCCCCCACCGCCGGTGTGGCTTGGCCTGCTCCAGAGGCTGCGGACGCAGGACTTGCTACCGCCAGGAGGGCGGCGAGCCCCCCCAACGCCGCGGTCCCAAGTAAGTGGGTGGGCGGATGGAAGCGCCCACGTGGCCTCCCCCATCACACTCCGGTCTCGGGGGCCCCGGACTGGGGACCTTCACCCATCTCTCGCGTCCCGCGGTCTCAAGGCGGCCGTCTCTCCATCCAGCTAAGTCGCGCCGGAGCCTAGGGACGCCAGAGTTCCGGGTTCCGCCCTTCAGCGTCCAGGCCCCCGCCCCGCCCCGCCCGCCCCGCCCCGCCCGCGGGACTTCCGGCGGGCTGGCTGGATGCAGAAGGTGGTCGGACCTGACCTTCAGCTCCCGCCGCCGCCCGCACGGGGAAAGCCGTCCCCGCCCGCCCGGCGCAGGCTGTGAGCCGAGCGGCTGGGGAACCCGGGGGCTGTGGCCAAACGACCTTCAAAATCTCGGGCTACACCCGGGGCCGCGACGCAGGGAGCGGAGCCGGCCCTGCTTGACACGTGGGTGGTGGAACCGCGACCCTTGGACAGTCCACATGGCCACCCCTGCCCCTGCGCGGGACCAGGAGCTGGCGAAGGCCCAGGAGCTGCCCCAGCGAGCGGGGCACCCCGTGGGTCCTCACTGACCAGTACCGTAGGGCTAAAGGTGGGGTGACTCTTTATTTAGTGGTTTAATGTCCTCCTGGAAGGAGGGGCTGCGTCCACCGTGTTCTCACTGTGTCCTGGGGTCCTCACCCTGCCTGGCATGAGCCAGCCTTAATAGTTGTTGTATGGGTGAAGGAATGAATGTATAAATTGGGAACGTGAGGAACCCCCCAGGTGAGGAATGGTTATAGACGATGACGTTGAGCCTGGAGAGGATCAAGTACCCCAAGGGGATGTTTGGGGCGCTAAATCCTATAATAAGGGCACTGTAGTGCGCATCCTTTGAGTCTCTGAAAGTGGCTAGTCTAGGACAAGGAAGGGAAAATATTTCCTATTCACTCAGCACCATTTGCTAGTTGGAAGGCCTAGGAGAGAATCCATGTGGTCCCTGAGGGGTCACAGTCCAGCAGAGCTCCTAACTGGAACCAGAATCCAGCCAGCTGAGGGCTGGAGAGAGCTGTACAGTAAATTCTCCCTGGGGTGTGTGTGTGTGCCGGGGGGGCGGGGGAGGAGGTGATCAGAGACCCTGGTCCTGAAGACAGGACTGGTGGACATGCTGGGGGGCGGGTCACAATGCAGGGAAAGTTGGTGGCTGGAAAATGTGGGTAAGGGTGAGGATGGGTCTGAGTGTGGAGCTAAGGAGTTTGCACCTTACTGACTGGTGGGGGTCTGGGGAGGCTGGGAGCTGGGGTTGACGAGGCCATCTCTAGGTGGTTACATGCACAGTGGTGTCCATGAGTTCCAGAAATGCTTTGGCTTCCTTGACAAGTTATGCAGGGGGGTCACAGATCCTGAGGTGACAGAAGTGATCAATGGAATATTGACCGCCACATCAGTGAACAAAGGATGTCACAGTTCATCAGCAGTTGCAGCCACAGCCAGTGGTGAGCTGGTGGGTCCTAAGCGGACTTAGGAAGGAAAGAATACCTGCCATCTAGCAGCCATCAGACTGCAGCCACTCCCTACGGTGAGCCCTGAGGAAACTCAGGATGTGAAAACACAGGATACTGGCCCCAGATAGCTGAGGTTGTGTATCAAAGGAATAATTTCAGTGAGCCCAGACTCTTGCATCTTCCCATACACAGAAAAGTACTGATTTCCTTAACTTGAGATATCTGGTTTTATTTTTTATTTTATTTTTTTTTAAATATTTATGTATTTATTTGGCTGCGCTGCGTCTTAGTTGCAGCACGAGGGATCTTCCTTGCAGCATGCGGGATCTTTTTTTTTTTTTTCAAGTTGCGTCATGTGCGATCTTCCTTGTGGCATGCGGGATCTAGTTCCCCGACCTGGGATCAAACCCGGGCCCCCTGCATTGGGAGCGTGGAGCCCTAGCCACTGGAACACCAGGGAAGTTCCTGGTTTTCTTTAATTAACAATAATCTTTTGATGTTCAGACTACCTGCCCTTTGTTGCAAAACTCCCATCTATCCTGGGTCCCCCCACCCCTCACCTCCTCGGAGCAGTTCTCTCAGGGTTACTTGAGATGCTGCCTCCCAGGCTTGAAGTCCTAAAAAATTCCCACCGAATAAAACATAACTCTCAACTTTTAGGTTGTGAATATATTTTTTTAGCTGACGGAAGTAATGGGGACATGGCCCCTGTGAAGAGGCTCCTTCCTCCTCTGCCCTGGGGACACACTGCCACCTCTTCATGGATGATGCCACATTTATACCTGGCACCAGGCTCCAGCCTGACTCTCTGAGTGGGGACTTCTAGCACACTTGACCTCAAATTCCCTCAGCCCAACCGGCCCTTTCAGCACAGACCATATCCGCTGCCTCATCTCTGTCCCTCAGGCTCGCCTCAGTCACCCACCTCCGCCTCCTTCCTCATCCTCACATTCACATCCTGACCGTGATCCCACCGCAGCCGTTCCCTGCCAGCCTCTGCCCCCTTCCATTCCAGTGACCCCCCTGGGCTGGGTGCCCATCACCCCAGGAAGACAAGAGAAATCCCTTCCCCCAGGCCCCCTGCTCCACCCCACGTATCCCATTGCCACCAGCTCACCCTACAGCATGGCTGCAGCTCTGACCTTTGGCATCACTACCCTCTGGAGGGAGGTGGATCTCCCGCCCAGCACTGGAGGCCCTCCCTGAGGTCAGTCTCCCTCCTTTTAACACACATATCCAGCACCAGGAATCCCGGGCTACCGGTTCTCTGCATGTGCCCACATTTTCACGCTGCCGCACCTTTGCTTACACCATTTCTTCGGTCCAGAATTCCGTTCCCCTTTGCCAACCCTTGAAACCCTACCCTTCTTTCAAGGCATGGTTCGAAAGTCACCTGCTCCAGGAAGCCCTCTTCAGTCCTCTCAGGTGGGATGCATCTCCCCATCTCTTGTTTTTGCTGCTGGTATGCTGCCTCTCACCCCCTGTCTGGTGTTGTATTCAACTGGGTCCACTCCCTGGGTGGGTCAGCTCCTAAAATTAGGAAAAGGTCTTACTCAACTCTGTTTTCCCCCTTAGCATCTACCAGAGTACCTTGCACACAGCTGAGGCTCAATCAACTTCTGCCGATTGAATTGGCTGAGAATTACAAAGAACATTCCCTCCCAGCCTGTCCCTCTGGGCTCACCAAAGCAGCAGCACACAGTGTGGGAAGTCAGGGAGTAAGTCTCAAGGTCTTACGTCCTTACTACCTTGCTATGTTCCTCAGGTTAAAATAGTGACCACATCCAGAGAGGTGGGAAGGGATTAATAAGTGAGAGCCAGAAATGTGCCCAGGAGTTCCTCCTTCATCAGCAAGAGGAAAGTCCCTCGGCTAAGTTTATGAAATAAAAGCAGTCCTTGATACTAAATGCAGTGTGGTATCCTGGATTGGATCCTGGAACAGGAAAGGGACATTCTTGGAAAAATCTAAAATCTAGAGTTTAGTTCACAGTAATGTACCAATGTTAATTTCTAGCTTTGTATCATGGTTATGCAAGGCATTAACATCACAGGAAACTAGGTGAAGGGCATAGAGGAAATTCTGTAGTACCTCTGCAACTTTTTCTGTGAGTTAAAATTATACCAAAACTTAAGAGTTTCATTAAAAAAAAAACAACCCTGACAAGAAACTTGACTTATAGTTTAATTTGATTAAATATAATATAGCCTGTGTGTTGCACTGTGAAATGTACAGCCATTATTAACAAGCCTGCTTTGCTCTGTTCCAACTTTCTTTAACTAAAAAAAAAAGGTTTCCCCCTTGTATCCTATTCAATGTATTTAAAGCTTTAAACTTCTAAAGACGATTTTAGCTGTGTCCCATATAACTCGACATGGTATATTTCCTTCTCATTGAGTTATGCATATTTAATTTTTTAAAGAGATAACACACTCATGTAGTTCAAAGAAGAAACACACAAGAAGGTGTGCAGTGGGGTATCTTGTTTTCACCCCATCCCTGGCCAACCCACTCCCACCACTCACTTCAGGAAACTTATATTAATTTCTTAGTATTCTTCGTGGGTTTTTTTTTTTTTTTTTTGCGGTACGCGGGCCTCTCACTGTTGTGGCCTCTCCCATTGCGGAGCACAGGCTCCGGACGCGCAGGCTCAGCGGCCACGGCTCACGGGCCCGGCCGCTCCGCGGCATGTGGGATCTTCCCGAACCGGGGCATGAACCCGTGTCCCCTGCATCGGCAGGCGGACTCCCAACCACTGCGCCACCAGGGAAGCCCCGTGGGTTTTTTTGTTTTTTGTTTGTAATGTACGTGTGGGCAAATCTTCGCACTTTTCTGGCACTAGGAATAGCCTGCAATACTCACTCTTCTGTGCCTTAGCAGTATATCCTTGAGCTTTGTCCACATTCATTAAAAAAAACATGTTTCCTCATGCTATTTTTATACTTAGGTAGTCTTCAACTGTGTGAATAAGCCACAGTTTTATGTATCTGTCCCTTACGGAGAGAAAATTGACTCTCAAAAAAATGTTTCCCATTTTTTTGCTTCACGGCAATGCTGCATAGTATATACCACGGTCACGGATCACTGAAAGTTAACCTCCCAGAGGAGGGAGAGCTAGAGCAAAGGCTAACACAACCGTGATGTTGCTGGATGCTTCCACATCGCCAGACTGTCTCATTCTGCCTTCTACCTGTGCTGGACAAGCCTGCCTACTCCCCTGTGGCCTTGGCAGAGGGGGCCAGTATCCAGCTTTTGAATTTATGTCAGTCTGATAGACGAGAAATTGTATCACAGGGTACTTAAAATTAGAAGTTCTCTTTTTGGATTAATGGGCTTGATCTCTTTATGAATTTAAGGGCCATTTGTGTTTTTAGAATGTGCTGTCTCTATTTTTGCTATTCCCACCCCCCCCCCATTTCTTAGAACTCTTACTTATTTGAGAGATTAGTTCTTTTTCTGTGATATGAGTTGCATATTTTTTTCCTAAATGCTTGTCATTTGACTTTTGAATCTATTGCCACACAGAAGTTTTTAAATTTTTATGTAGTCAAATCAGCCATCTTTTCTTATTTCACTTGTAGATTTGAGTCATCCG